TACAGCAAAACTTTGCCAGGGATAGGTACTGCAGTGCTTTAGTAGAATACTTGTGTATGGAGCAAATTTGTTGGAAGAGATGTTCAGTGTATTAGGTGAAACTGTATGAATTACTGCCTGACCACCTATCAAAATGCTCGCAGAGGTTCTGTAACAGCAGAAATATTCACACACCAAAGTGGTTAGGTTTGACCTGAATTTGCTATCACACTGATGTCTTTTCTTCGTTTTGTTTATGCTGATGGATGGATTAAGAAATTTTGTTAATGAATTCTTTCTTCTTTTTTTTTTTTTTTTTGACTGATGCAAAGTTAGGACATTTTAGAGGAAGAAAAACTTTTTCTGGGGAAAAAAAAATCTGAAAGGGAAGGATTATTTTTGTAGTCATATTTTTAGCAGGAATTATAACTCTTTTAGTGATAAGGTGATGCATACCTTAATTTTAGTTGTGTTGGTTCCAGAGCTTTCTTGGTGAGTTGGGTTGAGTGCTGGATATAGAAGGAGTTAAAAGAATGTCGGTGGAAAACCAAACTGTGAAAGAAGTACAAGGGAAAAAAAGAGAGCTTATTATGGAAAATTATGACAGAACACCTTTCTTGTGCATTTTGTTAATTGTTGTTGTTAATTCAGATTGGTCCAAAATGGAAAGATGTTGTGACAAAGTGCATTAAGGGTCACTATCAGCCTTTGCTGCTGCTGTATGCAGATCCAAGAGGAACTCCAGTGTCAACACAAGACTTGCCCCCTCAAGTGGATTTACAGCAATATAGCAGGACTTGCTATGATAGTGAAGACTCGGGTAAGCAGTCTGGACTATACATATGCCTTATACTTTCATGCTGTAGTGTGAAAAGTTTTTTCTTCTGTTTTGGGTGTGTTTTTGTTGGCAGGGATCCTTGTTGCTTGTCAAAGCTGATCTAGAATTCTGAAGAGGACTTCCAGTCTTTCACCTTTGAACTTCTCTCTGTCTAAGACTTTGTTGATTGTTTGGGTAGTAATCTTTTTCAAAAAGATTTGGAGAAAGAAACTGGGGAAAAAAAAAAGTGAAGGGCCTGTTGTGGCATGGACGTAGAGAGGAGCAATAACTGATGACTTCAGTGACTCAGTTCATAAATCCATCAGGAGTTTTAACAGGAAGGGAATGAGATCAGAGATGTACAAACATAAAAATTAAAGGAAGCTGCAGAATTAAACTCAGGAGGGAAGTTAGGGAAAAGAAATATGAAGGAAACGTCATAAATTATTTTTTTGCTAGGATGGTGAAGGGATGTGGGGGGAAGGGGATAAAAAATACTGTTTTATTAAAAATAGATAGAATCAGTGCAGCTTATCTTCAGCCTTTGGCTTGTCTTTTACTCAGATAAAACGGTAGAAGAGATATGAACTGATTTGTGGGAGACGGAGGGGGAAGGGATTGGCAGAGGCTTTTGCCCATAGGTCATATTTACTTCTTCGTTTTTCATGGTCTGTTTTGCATCAAATAAGATCTACAGCTATAGATATATAGCATCTAACATCTCAGAGGCCTTCAACACATTGCTACTTCCTGAATTCTTTGTATTAATGGTAGTCTGTTGAATTAGAAAGGTATGTCCAAATAAGGTGCTTCAGAGGTTAGAACTTGGTCTGCTCAAGATATCAGTAGTGGTCTGAACAAGCTGTTGCTTTACTGAAGTTCTGGATAATTTCGAACACTTAGTCACACCGTTGAGATTTGAGGCCTCATTTAAAGAGGAATAGATAAATTCTGAGAAAGATACACAATTGCAGTCCAGATAGGGTGAAAATAAAAACTGGGTCTAAGTTTATATTGTCATGGCTTTGCAAAAGAAGATTGTTTCTATTTCTGGATGTTTGCAGAGAATATCCTGAGTTAGAGATAGGTTTATAAGTTGCCAAGAACAGCAAGGTGAGACTAAAACCAGAAATAGAACCTTTCTTCCAGGATTTTAGCCTATTTATGCAACTGTAATTCCAAGAATATTTTATGGTTTTCCTGGCCAATAGCTAACTTTATGCTTCCTAGCCAGTGGATCTGTAGAGAAAGTCTGCTGTCACCTTATTTATTTGTTGACTATCTACCAGTAATGAAATAAATCTCCAACTCCTCTTAAAAATAAATACACATAAAAACACTGGTAAGAAGACCTTCATTTCTCATTTGACAAGATGCCTTGCAATTTATAAACCTATCTTCCTGTTCTGAAAAAATGGGAAGTCTGGAGGAGGTAGAGGAGGACCTTCAGTGTTATATATCAGTTGTGAGCACTTTGGCAAGCTTCAGGTCAGTATACGCTGTAAATTTGCCTTGTTGTTCCACTGGTTGATGTCCAGGAAATACATACGTAACCGTTCTGATCATTGTCTCTGCAGTATCTAATATTACTGTGTTCTAAAATGACTTCAGGAAGCTGAATACAAAAATACCTCTATAAAAAGTTGTTTCCTTTCAGTTAAAATTCAGAAGGCTATAGTGAGTAACTTGCTCTTTCATTTCACAAACACTTGGTGAGTCCTCAAGGCTTACTCCTGTAGTCTGCCGTGTTCAACATTAATACCAAGCTCTTGAGAGAATTTATGAGATACTGTAGGTTGAAGTGCAAGGAGAAATCATACCGTATACATTTTCCTGTCAAATAGAAGTGAACTGTTTTCTAACCATGTTGGTATCCAGAGTTTTATACCCTAATATACCTTTTTCAAAATGGCCTTTTTGTCTGTCACTAAGTGTAACTACAATTCCTTCTGGATTCCTCAGTGTTATCAGATAGCCACAGCCCATAATTCAGAAATGAACAGATATTGCTTATTCTTAAATTGTTTATCACAATATTGTACTTGAACTTTTGTCAAGGGATTCTGATAAATGCATCTAATCATATCAAGATCTGATACTACAAATTATGGAGGAAAGATTGTCAAAGATGCTGGTATGAAATGCTGTGAAGCTAAGTGCAAACAACTCCCCTTAATGCTTTTGATGTTCTGTTGAATAAAGACTTCAGTTTATAGATGGTTTTTTAGTACTCAGTTCCACAGCGCTGATTCCTGTTGCTTACTTTCACCTTTCTTTCTGTGACCGTCATCTCTGTTAACAGCTGTATTCTATATTTCTTAAGACCAATAAGATTTTTAACCAGTAAGGAGGTGGGGGAAAGTTTCTGACTTCAAAAGTTTTTAGGCATGCTTAAATAGAACATCAGCTGCAGGACTTGCTCTCACCGAAAAAGTCAAGTGTCCTCAGGCTGAGTGTTTGCAATTAAACGTAAGAGTGACTTTCTTCTCTAATTTCTTTTTTGTTCTTTAATTTGTCCCCTGAGAAATGAGTATGAAATAAATATCCTGTATTTTCAGGAGTGTATACATCATATAAATAAAATGGCCAATAGTCTTCAAACTGTTCATATTTTTACTTTTATGTACTGAAAGTGGTGGGAGGAAGTTGTCTTTTTCTCCTCTTTTAATGAGCATAGGATTTACTATACTGAAGTTGAATCACGATGCTTCATCCTTTTCAGTATCCCACTTGTGCAGGGAATCAATGCTAGCTTCTTGAGTAGGAGCAGGTTACTTTGCTTTAGATAATACAATTTCAGTATAAAGTTTTGCTAGATAAGCTTTTGATTCATAATAGATGAAATGTGTTCATTATTATAACTTGTGATGTTCTTGTTACCCTTATTAATACCCTGTACTTGACTAATTGTTTAACTTTGACTTCCCCTGAAGTAGTGTATTTCATGTTTTAATTACATTTAACAGTGTCAAAAATTAATGAAAAATAATTTCGGTGTGGTACTAATGGGTACTTTCAGTCCAATGGATGTAGTTTAATTTTACATAATAAAAGGATTTGATAAATTTGGAGTTATCAGAGAGAAAGAAATAAAGGTTTGCAGAGGGAATAACACTGTCTCCCCACTTCCAAAGGAGAAGACCTTTCCCATAAGCTCTGGCGTCATTGAATCTGAGTTTGTACGTTTCGTACTCTGTTTTTCTGTTAACTTCTGTGTCGTTTCCTCTGTTTTCTTTTTTCAGCCTCTTCTTATTTGTAATAGCCCCAAAAGATTGAAATTTGACATTTCTTCCTTGACATTGCTTCCTTCTCTAGGGAGAGAACCTTCCATCTCAAGTGATACCAGGACAGATTCCTCTACAGACAGTTATCCTTGTAAACAGGCGCACCATGAGTCTGTAGTCAGTCACTTCTCCTCTGACTCGCAGGGGACGGTCATCTACAATGTGGAAAATGATGCAGCTTCACAAAGCAGCAGGGACACAGGTAGCAGATACCATTATATCTGTATGATCATTGTAATTAAGTATGATGACTGCAGTAGATACCAGTGAAAAATCTCTATATACGTGACTGGTAACAGAATAGTGAACAGTGTTTAGTATCCTAAATGTTTTTGGTTTCTAATGAACTGTCGGCATTCACAAAAAATAAGCATAATTTTAAATGCCTTGTTGGCTTCTGTGGACTTGTATCTAGCCAGACAAACATTTACAGACATGTTTTCTGTTACCCACAATCCTACCTGCTCTCTTTATTATATAATTCTGCAAGTTGGAATCTGTACAGTGCCATTGTACAGTTTGGTAAGTCTTGTGTGTGCTACTTATCTACAGGCAGTTGCTTCATTTCAGGAGTTGCAGCTGTCTGGGAAAGGCGCTTTCATCACCAGAATCTCTCACACTTGGGCACTAAGGACTTCCTATGTAAGTGGGTGTTAGTAGTGTTTACTGCACCAGGGAGGAGCATAAGATGATTTCCTGCCTGTGCCCTGGAAGCCAGCTAAGTGGGAATCCACAATGAGAAGACAATATGTATCTATGTTCCTTTGGGTAACTGAACAGTCTACCTGAACACTAGTTGAAAAGAGGTTAACTGGAAGTCTGAAGACTTAAATATCCTCTATTACTCATGCCCAGTGACCCTAGTCAGCCTGTTTCTGCATACAGCACTTCTAACATCACTTCTGAAAAAGTAGTGCATGAGTTAAGGTCAGACTTCTCAAGCACCAGAAATATGATCTGCTAAGACTGTTTGAAAAGTTACTTTATTATGCCTTAAATAGACTTTCTAAGAAGACCTAAGAGTTGAATCAGCAACTGTTTGTTGCACCAGAGTGTCAACAACTGTCATACCACTTTGTCCTTCTAGTTGCAAAATAGTTGCACTCTTGTTATGATATATGTGTATTTGCTTCATTTGAAACAAGTATTTTTCACAGCAAAATCCAGAAAAAAATGTTTCAAGTTGATTTTCTTTAGTACTCTGACAAAGAATCTTGTCAGAGGTCCAAGTAACTGTAATATATGGTTTTATGTAGCCCAATAGTACTTTTAATGTTTTAGCAAATACTTAACGTTGTAGATTCCCAGTCATAGTCCTAGGTAGTGTGTGAGAAAGAAGGGAAAGTTGGAGCAAAATGTGAGTAATGAGGAAACCAAATTTATGTTGATCTTCAGAGTACAAAGAAAACAAAATTAAAAATGCTAGTGGAATATTGTTTATATAGTCTTCAAAAGTGGCACAGAGTTTATTGGATTAGATTCCTCCCTGCAAAACTTGCCATATAGAAGTCAGCAGAAAAGGGAGGATAGGGGGATGGTTACAAACATGTAAGCATGAAGTTCAGCATGTGACCTTTTGTTCTGTCATTTTTAGTGACTTTGTCCTTTTCTTTTTCTTTCTTCTCCTATTGATTCTATCCTATGTTATTCCCTTCAGCTTAGCCTGTCTCTCCACCTAATTTCAGTTGTCCTCATCTTCCCTGATTCAACCTTAGCTATAGTCAGTCTGTCCCCTTAGCTAGCTACCTGTCTGGGCATTTCCCCCTTTTTTTTACCTACCCAAAACCTTTCCAAAAAAGTCAGTCTGCCAACTCATACAACTACTCAAGCATCAAATGCTGATCCGTGGGGCTATAAAGAAGCCATCCACATTGACCTGTCAACTGAATCGTTCTGGGCAAGAGCAGGATTCTTCATTTAATGGCCATTTACCCACTACTCCAGCCCAGAAAATTATGGACCCTATCCCACATCGTCCTCCAGAGAAGGACCGCCATTGGGTCGTATGACCTCAGGCAACCAGGTACTTCAGAATGGGGGCATGAAGAGTGGCTGTGTAAGCCCTCTCTTGCTCCTGCCAACCTGTGCTGCTGAGAAAAATGTGTGTATTCTGGCTTCCCTATTCATGCAACTGAGACTTCAGTGGGAGGGAGTAGGGGTTGTTGTGTCTTAACCTGTTTGATTTCGTTCTCTCCTCTAACATTATTAGACATGCACACAACCCCTGCAAAGCCAAACTTTTCCTTTGAATATCACTGTTTGCTTATGAAGCCATCCCAGCTCCAGAGGATGAGGTATTTAAGTGATACATTCAGCAAGGGACACCTTTTAAGTGTATGACTGGGCAGTCAGACAGAAATCCTGGCTTGTTATTTTAGTGAATTTAAAAAAAAGTGTAAAGTGTTAGCTAATATTCTTGCAATTGTAATTCCTACATTCATGCATTATGTTGGATTTAGTCTTTGTTCCAGGGGGTCCAAGTAAAGACAACAAAGCCTGTGTCCTGCTAGCTTTTGATTCTTGGCATCTCCCCCATGGCTATTAAATGTCCAGTGACAATAAGACAAAATGTGCAATTTATGAAAGGAGAAAATATTTATGCAAAGCTAGCAACCTTTATTCTACAAGGCTAAGTTGTGCTCTTACTAGTCTATGCAGACCCTAAGCTAGCTCCAGTAGCACTAAATATCTTTAAATAGTTTCTGTTACAGTACTTGAAGGATGCTAACCAAGCACTCTCTATCAGGTTGGAAGAACTTTGGGGGAAAACTGTTTTAACTAGAGAAGTTGTACACTCTGAAGTGCGAAGGCTTGAGGGGAGCCACTACAAGGTGTAAGATAATAATGGTCTTTTGGTCCCTAAAAGATGTGTGACAGTCCATGCTGTGAAGGGGAGGAAGAAAAAAAAACATTCTCCCAAAGCACTGACTCATGCTTGGTCACCTGAGTGCTGCAAATCTTCTGTCTTCACTGCCAACATTTCTCTTTTACTTCCTTAATTTCTTTTCTTTATATAATCTGCTTGTTTCTAAAGAATTTGGCTACAAAGTCACTCTCCACTTTGCAAATGAATAGAAAATGAGTCTTGTGTAGCTTGTTTTTTGTTGTTTAGATTCCTTCCCACTCATTTGTTGTAGTATCTTTGTAGCAATTCTAGTTGAAGTGAATTATTTTTTCAACAGTTGAAGGTACAATTTTATGTGTGAAATCTGCTTTAAATGTTGTTGCTTTTTATATTAATTTCTAGAGAAGACATAGTCTCGGAACAGCCAGCCATGTAGTCTGGGGGCTGTTAATCCACTATTGGGTAGTAGGGATTTTCCTTTCCCATCATCCTATGCCAGGTGAAAGCTGGCGATATAAAGGCTAGAGAAAAGTCTTTGTAGCTTATTCATAAATTCCCTTCTTATCCTGCATCTCTGCTTGGGACTACTCACGTGAGTAAAGCCATACGTGTGTTTGTGCTTGCAGGTTTAGGACTGAACGTGTGAGAACCATAAAACTAAGAAAAGGCAATACAGAAAACTTGTGATGTTAAATACTCTTAACTCATGTTTGATGTGAGGAAATGGGAAATAAATTGTGTGCAAGAGAAAATACTAGCACTCAGACACATCAGCTGTAATAAGGGAATGTTGTCGTGTGTCAGCTGATCCATGTTGATGGTTTGTGTGTATGCTCTTAGCTTGTGGCAGATGTGAATTAGCTGGCTTAGCCCTTGAGACCCAACTGAAGCTTCTTCACTGTAGACTGACCTAACTCAGATTACTTAGTATTTGCTACAGGCGAAGAGAGTGCAGATAGATAGTGCAGAGCAGCTGATGATGTGCAGTAACTTATTATTACATGGTAACTTGTTCATGTGTTTGAGTCTTCATTCAGCAGAGTAACATCAGAGCAAACTGTCCTCAGGAATTTCATGTTCATGGCCATTAAAACTGAAAAAGTATTCAGACAGCAAGAAAAGGATGTCCTTAGACTATTAGAAGACAAGGCAGAGTCAACTTTTTCCTCTCCCTATGGATAAACTCTCATTAACCAGAGCCCTTGGAGGGGCTGTATTTCTCCTTTACGACCTTAAAAATGGAACACCTTCCCCTCCCCAAAACCAAAAACTTTTGGATACAAAAACGTACCCAAACCTGCCAGTTAGCATTGGAGTGTCTGCTGCTCCTAAGGAGTGCAGAGAAGCCCTACTGCTCTTAGTGCACAGAATACTTGGTCCAAAGGCTCTTGTCATCTGTACTGTGTTCTTCTGTCCTTCCAGGGCACCTGACCGACAGTGAGTGCAATCAGAGGCATGTTTCCAAAAAAGGCTCACTGGCAGACCGCAAGAGGAGTTCTAGCCGGTCTCGGCGAAAAGGAGATGAGGCTCAGTCATCAGGATACCATAGTGAAGGCAAGAGATGTTACTTTATTTCGAAAGTCAATGTCTCTTTTTGCATGTTTTTTAAGATCCTCAGTGTATATATGCCTTTCTCTCCTTGTTTCTTACATCTTTGTCTGTATTTTGTTCTGTCTTTGCTTTGTTTTTGTTTGGGGGGGCGTTGTTTGTTTGTGGGGGTTTATTTATTTGGTTGGGATTTATTTTGGTCTGTATGAAGATGCTGCAAGTAGGGCTCCTAGTTTAATCTGAAGTTATTTTTGTGGCTTTTGCTGTCTCTATAAACTGCAGGAGAAACCTTGAAGGAGAAACAAGCCCCCAGAACTGCCTCCAAACCATCCAGCAGCACCAGCAGGCTGAGGGAATTTAAAGAGACAGTGAGCAATATGATCCACAGCAGACCACAGCAGATTTCTCAAACCATCCAGAGTTTGCCTCGTGGAGGGAGTAGTGTGGATCAGGCAGAAACACGACCCTCAAAAAGCCTATCTGCACACTCTCGAGACTGGGAAGTGGAGAGTACTAGTAGTGAGTCTAAATCCAGTTCATCTAGCAGGTACCGGCCAACCTGGAGACCCAAAAGAGAGTCTCTGAATATAGACAGCATCTTCAGTAAAGACAAGAGGAAGCATTGTGGCTACACTCAGCTTAGCCCCTTCTCTGAAGAAGCAGGTAAGAGTTTGAGAAGAAAGACTTATTTCAGAATGTGTGGTGTTTATAATAGTCCACTATCCAGCTTTGTTTAAATAAAGTAGGAAAGGGAAATTTTGAACATGGCATTTAGGTCAGTGGTGAGTTGTGTCCTTGAAGGCTAGTTTCGGTGTGGGTATTCAGGTTGCATGTATGACACTTCTGTTTGCTTTCTGTGTGCTAAATTCCACATGTAAGGAGAAAATAAGGGAAACATTACAGTCTGCAGTGCTTAAATGGACACAGCGCTAGACTGCTAACTATCTGGAAGTTCATCCCTTGGAATGGCCTTTTGTATTGGTCTGGTTTTTTCTTTGGGTCATTGTGGTATTTTTGCATAATGACTCAGACTATGGTGCGGCAAGTACCTCAGATATCAGTGCTGAGCTCTGGTTGCGAGGATAACAGCCTGGCAGCCGGTGATGATTTATCTGGGACCATTTTACACCATAGTAGCTATGCAACTTGTACACAGAGACTTTGTCCTCAGCTTTGCTGGTTTTGAAGGTAATAAAATCTGTTTTGAAACAAGTTTGGATATCTTTTGTTACCCTAGCCCTTGGCTTCCCTTTGCACAGTCTGCAAATGAATATAGCAGTTCTTTTGCTCCCTGTCAAGAGGAGGGTACTCCTGAAACTTTAAAGGATGTGGAGAGCAGATGTTCACCAGTTCCCAGTTTTTATGTTGTTATGCTACTGGAGCTGCTGCGCTCCCATCTCAGAGTGCTTGAAAGACAGTATGTGGATGAGAAGAAAGAGGTTTATGTGACTGATAGTAGAGTTATGGTTAGTGAGGATGCTGTTACAGCAATTTGGGAGCCTGGAGAGAGGGAGGGGCAGATGATACAGACTAGAAGGCGCTGAAGGTTGAAAAGAATTGAGAAGCATAAAGAAATACGTATAGAGAACATGAAGGGAGAAGAGAACACAGCTCCAGGGAATGAAGCAAGGGGAGCAGACAAGAGGCAAGTGGGAAGACACAGCGAAATCAGTAAGGAAGAATTAAAAAAAGAAAAAGTTTTCCTGTCCTCTGTGAACTGATGTTATATAAGCCTCATCAAATTGTAAATGGCAAAATAAACAATGTAAAAAGTGCAGTGTCTGAAGTAGATATGACAGAATACAATAACAAATATAAACTGGAAATACAATTGGGTATACTGTAAAATGATCTTGTGCAAATACAAATTGTTATGGAGAGGAAGGGATTTTCTTTCCAGACTTGATTGTTACCTGGGGGGGAATATGGTGAGTTATTCTAAAGGGGAGAGATTAAATAAAATTTGTTGAATAGATCATTGCTTAATATTACTAGGAATGCTGTAAAAGCATTGGGGTTATTTTCTGCTTAATATTGCTGGTTTTACATTAAATTAAAGACAGTGCTTCTGGTTTAAGCATGGTGGAGAAGCTAACGTATGTGTAGATGATTTGCTGATATTGAAGCTTGGATCTTCTACCAAACCATGTTCTTTTGTCTTGACAGGTAAAGAGCTTAGTGAGAATGAGGTGAAGGAACATGCTATTCAAGAAACAAGATCAAGCCAGTCAAATGTCGGATATAAGCGTGGTGTGCTAGGCCGCAGCACCCAGCATCATATGGTGGATCAACATCCTCATCTAATACAGAGGATGGAGTCTGGCTATGAAAGCAGTGAACGCAACAGCAACAGCCCAGTTAGTCTGGACATGCCCTTGTCTGAAAGCTCAAGCACTCACAGGTAGATTTCAACAAACTTCATTTTTGGAGTGATTGAAGTGTTGATTTCTTTTTTGTAGTTACATAATCGTGTAGAACATTTTTTTAAAAATGCAAAACATTGTTCCTGGCTTGTAATACAGGTTTATTGTGACAGGAAAGAAATAGAAGTGAAATAGGAATCTGGGTGAGTTCGAGTCCTTTTCTTGTCAGTATATTGATAGCTTACTGCTAGTGAGAAGGAAGAGAAATGGAGTTCAGTTGAATGAGAAATGTTGACTAAAATGATGCATCTGAATAGTCGTACCCTTGGTCTATGATTTAAAAACTCAACTAAAATATCAAACTTCGTGCTTATCCTTTGAACAGTTCATAGATCTTTTTGTTTCAGTTAAACCATTGCTTGATAGAAGCCTTGTACAAAATGAGAAATCAGTAGTCTTGTATAGAAATCTTTGACATTTTCAGTTTGAGAGGTTCATGAAGTCTTGGAAGACACTTGCAATATTTATATGTAAAAATAAATAGGCAGCACAATGTGTTTCTCTCCGTGGCTTAGGAAGCTTCGGGCAATCACAAACTGAGACTGTTTATGGCCAGAATAGTAGATTTTCAGCTGTAAGAATCTGTTGAGAGCCGCTATCAGACCACAGTTTTAATATGCATTGCATGCTCTTATGGAGGAGAACAGAATTATTGTCCTCCCTATTGTTAACTTTTTCTTTACCTGTTTATCCCAAGATTTTTTAATGGTAGATTTTAATTTTTATATAATTAAAATGCAAGTAAATATTTATATGATGATAAAAAAAGGTAGATATAATTTCTCCTGGAGAATTAGTGACATAGTAAACTATAATTACTCTCTTCTTGGAGGGACGTTCATATGAAGCGAGCAGGTGGATTAGTTCCTGCCTGGCGTAACATCCCAAAGTCTCACAGTAGCAGCATCTTGGAAGTGGAGTCTGCTTCCTCAATTGGGAGCTGGGCAAACAGCCCCCACACCATTGGAAATGGTAAGATAAGCTTCCTCGGTAGCAGTGGTTTTGCAAGGTAAATTGTATTGGAGTTGTTCTTCACTTTCTGGATGTTTATCTTCACAGTGAAATTATGAGGAAAGGGAAAAGAAACATTGAAGAACATAACAGTTTTACAAGATATAACTTACAAGATTTACCAAAGTGTGTTGCAAAAAACTTTGTTGGAATATTCCTTTGATCATGTTACTCTGGCATCTTTTTTGATTATTGACTTAACTGATAAAGTAAAGCTATTTTTCCTGTTCTTTCCCATAACTAAGTGTTCGGCCATCAGTGGAAAATACTTTCCTAAGCATAACTCATAGTAACTTAGTAGGATTGATGAGTCCTGAAAACAAGCTCATAATGCTATACAAAATTCAAAATTGTCAGAAATAAGAATCGATATTTATAAGATGTTTGGGCTAAGGCTGAGTTTTTCTGCAGATACACACTCTGATTATGTATTGTTCTGAGCAAATACTTTATTCCAGAGAATGTCTGGGGGAGGGAAAGGGAGGAGGGGAGACCTTTTTTGAATACAGGTCATAGCTGAAGTGAGAATGACTTGTTGATTTCTGCTGCATTGACTAGGATATTGATATGCTTTATTTTCATCTGCTTCTGCAGTTAGATGAAAAGCATCTCAGTTGGAATCCATTTTACTTACTAAAGCTAATGATCTGACTAATTTGACATAGCATTATTTACAAATCATAAACACAGCAAGAAGCCTCAAGATTTCAGCATCAGCTTAGGGTTATCTCTTCCAATGGTTCTCTCTGTTCCATTTACTGTTTCTTGGGTCAGTGAATCCAGGGATGGGCTGTGCTGCAGGGGAGCTTGAAGCAATACTGCAGCATTTCTGCCAGTCACTGACACAGAGAAGGCAATTGGAAACCAAATGGCTTGGGCGGGGTTTTAAAAGTAAAATTTAACTAAGCAAAATTTGTGATCTGAAATTCTGTAGTCTTTGCTTGGTCAGTCTGTTATTTTGTAATGTTAATTGTATTCTCCATTAATATTTCTTTGTCTTTTAAGGGATTCTTTAAGAAATTTTACTATCAAAAAAGTTTTGTGGTTTTTGGTTTGTTTTTTTTTTTTTTTATTGGGTTTTTTTTTTTGGAAGGTGGGGAGATGTTTGTCCCTTTAAAGAGTGAACTGGATGAATTGCAAGAGGAGGTGGCAAGGAGAGCACATGAACAAGAGCTACGCAGAAAAAGAGAAAAGGAAATGGAGGCAGCAATGGGCTTTAATCCCCGTCCCAGCAGGTTCATGGATCTAGATGAACTGCAGAATCAGGGTAACTCTTTGAATGCAGTATATTTTGCAAGACTGTAGTGCTGAAGTTTTTTTTAACCTTTGAACTTAATTTTCTACTGTAAGTCTGTCTGTCTGTCTCTCTCTCTCTCCTCTTCTTCCACTACAATTTTGCACCTTTAGTTAGTGAAAGACCATCAACTTCCAACCTGTAGGATGCGAAAAAACTGTTTGGTATTTTGACCAATTTCCTTCTTAAACGAAACAACAAATTAACGCAGAGGTATTTTTAATATATTTGCACATTCCTATTTTTATCATGATATGCACCACTACTAGCATTGATATCTAGATTTTAGCTATAAGGCTTCAACCAACATCTTGGAATGAGCAGGGCTGTTTGTACCTTTCAGACACCTCAGGTCCACCTGCAGCATAGCTTGTTTATTTAGGCCATTGTTTTGTTTCTGAGTGTTTCTGGTAGCATCACTGCCCTAAGCAATTCTGCTTGTTCCTGCCCTTGTACTTTCCACTTTTTCTCTCTGCCTGGCTGTGCAGCCACAGCACAGATGTGGGAATAAGTACTGTGGCAGGCTTAAGCTGGAACTACTTGAAAATCTGAGCTGGGTTTACCTTACGTAACTTTTCTAAGGAAAAAGAATTGAAAAAAATCAATTTTAAAAGCCAAATACTAAATTTGATTGTCTTTTCCATGACTCCTCATGTTTCTGGCAGGGGATGGCAGCAGAAGAGAGAACTTGGTGACAGGATTCACATGTAGCACCTTTGTTTTAGCCCTAAACTCCACCAGCCAGTAAGGGGAGTCAGAGAGAAGGTGGGATGAAGTGCACTGACCCAGTTGAGAGTGAAGCCTGAAGCCTGGTAGAGTGTTTGACTGCGGGCTTGTTGGTGGGTCAGCAGAGCCAAGGAAAGTGTGGTGAACACCAAGGCTCTGCTCCCACAAATGCATGCATGACTGAGGCAAAAACCCACTGTGGCCTCTTGTGTTGCCAGGCCTCCTGCATCCCCATGCTGCTTGCTCAAACCTGCTGTAATTAAAAGTTGGTTAAAAGCAGCTGGTTTGTTGCTACAGGACAGAGAGGAAGGAGAGGGGCACCCCACAGCAATGCCAGCTCTGGGCACAATGCAGCCAGTGCTCTGCAGCCTACAGCTATGCCAACTGCTCAGCAGCCAGAATGTCATTGTGCCAACGGCAGCTGAAAAATATGATCTCTGAGAATGTCTGACTGTGGGAATGTGTTTATAATTTTTGCTGACCATCAGTGAGCCATTTAGTTGTCCTTTACAGTCCTGCTGTGACCTGCCAGTAATCAAGTGAAAAAATCTGACGTACCAGAGTAAACGGGTTTCTTTTTTATTAGTATTAGTGTTTACTTTTGTAATATAAATGCTAGTGATGTAAAAATTGAAAACTAAACCTCTATCGTTGAGCATGAGGATGTTGTCTTCTCTGCTTTTCCTGCCCAAAAGAAAATAGTATATTCTCCAAGACATTACTCCTCTTTGATCTCTTGCATTAGTTTGTAGAAGCAAAAATTGCTTAGCTTTTCCTTGTTAAAAAGAAAATGAACTAGAATAATGCTTAATCAAAAAAGACTTCAGTAGAATGTTTGAGGAGGTTACAGGCATTGACTTGAGATCTGGGAAAGTTTTTGTTTATTCATTTTAAGTCTTTCCCCACCCCAGCCAGAGATGTAATAGCTTAACATTAACAGACTGCTTGACTGCCTGGAAGGCTTGCTTGTGCACAGAACTCCAGAACACTTGTGACTCATTTTCCCCTCAAGTAAACTGCTAAATTCATGCAAAGAAAGCTAACTTTAGTATACTGGCCTTGATTACAAGCCTCAGTAGCCTTGATTTTGAAACTGAATGTGCTGCTTGATTAACTCACTGCTCTAACAACTCTCACTTCTCTCTGCAGTACTTACTTTTCATGTGAGTTCTCTGGGGTTTATGGTATAAGAGAGTTTGTGTTTGCATCTGTGCACAAGCATGTTGGGGAGCAGGCCAGGCCATAGCATATGTTGTGCAAGTTAAGAAAACATAATTTATTGTTGACTGTTAAAGATACTCATGTGTTTTACCACAATGATAGAGATATTCCATTAAAAAAACCTCACCCCTAAACAAAACAAAAAGTTTTATTTTCTGTTTTCCCCACCTTATTTGAATGTCTACATTTTAGTGCTTGACTTGCCTAATGCTTGATAGGTGACACTGGATTTTTTTGGAATTTCTTCCTCTCATAACTGGATGTTCTGGTGCCAAGACACAGTGTTTCATCTTTCTCTTTTGTGTCCAACGATGATTTATCCTTCTCCAAAACTGTTTTCTAAATTGTTGCAAAAGGAATTCTTGACAATTGTCCCTTTCTTCTTGGCTTCTTTCACCTGTGTTTTTTCCTCCTAAAGCTGCAAGACCATTGGGTTTTCATATTCCATGTGTCTCAGCAGTTGAGTGTATGCACTGAACACATGTTCATAGAACTATTTTGTGCAGGCATTTACACTCACACTCCAGTCTGAGTTTTGTTCCCCAGGTGTCTCAGTTGTTTCCGTTTGTTTCCATTTTGTATGGAAGTAATTGGATATCTGAAGAAGAGACGAATGATTTTTGGCAGGAGACTTAACATACAAGGAAAGCTCTGACCTGCTATATTTCTTTTACTGATGTATTTTGGTTTAGATTTAATTCTAAATATAGATTAATTCCTACTTGACAGAAGTCAGCTGAAGTGACTTTATGATATGTCTATACCATCTTTTGTACTGATTTAGAGTGTTCAAAATAATATAATAAGCCAGTACAACTCCATCAATTGAACAAAATTTGAGGGGAAAAATCTGGTTCACATTGTTTTACTGTGTGGATGTTGAGCATCAGGGTGCTCAAGTTGTAGTTCTACTTAGGGAAGGTTAGGTGGTGCGGTCTGGGATGTGTGCAGCCTCTGCAAGACTCCGTATGTGGAAGAATTTGGCAATCACGAATGGGATGAGGGTAAGTGAGGGTTCTGCAATGAATGAAACCAAAATGAAGGGTGCTGCCCGTTGCAGGGAGGAGTGATGGCTTTGAGAAGTCGATGCAGGAGGCAGACTCAGTCTTTGAAGAGTCGCTGAATCAGGAGCAGAAGGGGGATTGTGCTGCAGCTTTGGCTCTCTGTAACGAAGCTATATGTAAGTAACTCTAACCGCCTGAGCTATTGCGCTTTTGACAGTTTACTAATATCATAGGAAAACATCTGAAACATTGAATCACATTAAATGGTCAGATAGTAATATGGGGATCCAGCTAGTCTTTAGGAATGTGCAGTGAGACAGAATCTTTCCTTTTTACAAGTATTCCCTTTTGGGCGTTATAGTCCTATTCCCCTTCATCTCTGTTTCTTTCATGTTCGTGTCCATTTTTGTTGTTCTTTCCAGCGCTATGGGAGTGACAGCACTGCAGTGCTGATGTGCCCTTTTAGGTGCTAAATGGTGCATTTCAGCAAGCACCTAGTAGGTAGCTCCCCCTGCCACTTGGTCCTCAATTAACAATTTTTCCCCATCTTCAGGCCAAATTACAAAGGGCATTAAGCTCCTGTTTCTCATGGAGGGTGTGTAGCATAGGAAGAAAATGGTAGCCCACTCTTGAGTCCTCTGGATTAGCAGAAATGAGCTATGCTGTACCTGACTTTCATGAAGAAAAAAGCATTAGGACATTGAAGTGCTTAAATGCATTGTGACCTTTGAGAATGTGTGCTATGTGATTTCATTTTATTTTTGGTCTTTTTCCATTATGACTGGCTGGCTGTCTCACCCCATGCTCCCCTCTGTCTGTATAGAATGGCTGCAGACAGAGTGGGTAGCTCCTGTGCATTTGCGTTTAGAAATTGGCTCTTATGGACTGCAGAATACGGGGCGCAGCACACAGCTGTTGTGACAGCTCTATTAGCTTCTGTTCCAGCAAAGCTGAATCTCAAATCCCAGCTGGGTATTCCTGCACATAAAGGGAGTCCCAGGTATGGAGGATACAGCAGAAGGGTAGATGATGGAATGAAGCATCAATGTGGTAAGGTTGGAAAGAAGCTGTGTATGAAGGGGATGAGAAGTTGGGCTAAAACATGGATAATTTCTATTTTTTACTTTATTTTGGTTTAGTTTCAATTAACATATTTGGACACCTGGCTAAGCTGAATGTGCATTAATAGAAACAATAGCATCCTTGTGAACTCTTTTGTGGCAGTATTTGCATGGTCCATGTTTTATGTTCTTGCTGCATCTTTTTTCTTTTTTTTTTTTTTCAATTTTATTCCTTTTTTCTGTTTGTTTTCTGCTATGTTTTCTTTTGCATTTTAGCTAAACTAAGACTTGCCATGCATGATGCCAGCGCTAGCACTCACAGCAGAGCCCTAGTCGATAAGAAGCTGCAAATCAGTATCCGAAAAGCCCGGAGCCTCCAGGATCGCATGCAGCACCAACAGCCATCGCAGCCGCTGCCGCCGCCAGCCTCCCACCCACCACAGGGCGGCACCATGGCCCAGTCTACAAGGTAGTCCAAGTATCTCACCTAGACCCAGGTCTGAGCTGCATCTGTGAGCAGTGCAGTCTGGAAAGAAGTAGCAAACTCTATATATTCCCCTGGATAGTCCAAACCCTACAGTGTTACTCCTTATTCCTTTCTCCTTTAGGTTAAATCCTATTGCGAGATGATCAGCTACCCCTTTTTCCAACCCCCTCCCCAGTCTTTATACAATAGTTCCGTGTGCATGTGTTCAAAATGTGATCTGTGACAGAGAATTGTAGCAGTCAGTGCCTGGCAGCATCGATATTTTTATGCACCAAGGGAAAGAACATAATAGACAATAACCTGGCTAAAAAGGGGTTGTGTGTTAGGATGAAATGTGCAACTGTTTATAATCAGGAGTAGTCTCAGGACTCAGTAAAAGAGCGTACTACAGTAAAAAATCTTGCTCTAATTGCTTTTATGTTGGGAAGAGCAACCAGTGTGTTTTAGCGCTCTGTAGTTTGAGAAGTGTCAAGTACACTGATCTTTTCTTTCTAGTCCTCTTCTCTAGTGGTGCACTGGTACAACTCTTGGATCCAGATCCTGATCCTGTCACCTTGACTACTCTCCCTGATGCTGTATCATTCTTCATTTTCTTTCTGTGCTTCCCAGCACCCTGTAGCCTAGCTTAGCAGGCTCTTCAGTGTCTCTTCATGATTCTTTATTCCATACTGACTTTAACTATAGCATAATTAACTCTCTGCTGTAACTGATCCTTTCTTCCTGCCCTCTTTAGCATGCAGCTTAATCCTTCTTTCTTCCATGCCATTCCCTGCTAGCACTAGACCATCCCTATACAATTTCTAGGCTGTTTCTTGAACTGTTATTTTTCTTCCCTCTCTCCTTTCTTACTTGTTATATTATCAGAAGCTTAGATGAAATCTCAGATGAGAATCTTTTTTCTTTTCCTTTTTTTAAAATGCCACGTACAGCTATATATTAAAACTCGGTTAATTTGCACACCTGCCAGGCTATAGTTCATAATGTTCTTTTCTTTTCCTGCAGTAGCCTAATTATATGTAATGAGAGCTGATCTTTTTGTCAATCAGGGGTCCATTATATCCTTTTTTTACAGAAGAAATGCAGAGCTGCAGTTATGCATTTTGGCAGATTCTAAGAAAATGAAAGAAAGGAACTTTCGAGACTAATTTTGTTAATGCTGAACTTGCTCACTGCTGCTCTGTGAAGAGAACGTTATTTTTGCAAAAAGTTATATATCCAACCAAATGTTAATACTGCAGCCAATGAAAAGAATCTGTTGATAGCCAGAGTTCTGTACTCTTGCTTTGATATAAGAAACATTGTAGACATTACAAAGTTTGTGATTACTCACAGACAAGGTCATTCTGCTGCATGTATCAAGTAGGTCTTCATGATAACTTTCATTCTATGCATCTCAAGGAGGAAACAAAGCAATGGTGTTACAGTTTCCTTAAGTTCTCTGTTGGAGCTGTTTGTAGCCTGTCATTTTCTCACAGGCACATGGACTTGGTACTGATTTTTCTGTCTCCATATTAAAATGCTAAATAAATGCAGAAAAATGCTAAGGACATGTATGACCCAAGGATATAATTGTCTTGCATGATATATAAAAGAATACAAATAATTTTAGAAATATACTTAGAATACAAATTATTACAAAATAATAGTTATATATTTAGCTTGAACTTTATTTAATGTGTTGGAACGTGAACCTTTATTTAATGTGTTGGATAAATATCTCAAAAGATCAGAATACAAAGATGATGTGAGAGAAATTTCAACTTCTTCCTTCCATTTGTCAAGTCATTCTTCATGAAGTTGCCTGGAGAGAGGGCACCTTACAGAAATATTGTCAGTTTGTGTTCAGATCATGAACGTGTCCAAAGTATTTTCAAAAATATCTAAGATGTTAATGTTGGAAACAGTTGTTTTGTTTTATATAAGTGCTATTTTTACTATTCTTACAGTTATTCCTACCCCTACACGCTCAGTCTGCTGGTTAAAGTGCCTAGGGTGCTGTACAAGAATACTTTATATAGCGCCTAACTATAGCAAAATACTGTGAAAAATATGAAATTGATTCAGTAGGTCAGTTATAGTAGGAAATCAGGGTTAGAAGCAAAGGACTAACATGTATGTATCTCCTGAATGAATGCAAAGTCCTCATCAGAATACAGTTAGCAAAGAAAAATGTGTTGAGGTATACATCACTTAGTGCAAGTTCTGTACCCTAGGGATAAACATAAACAATGACTACTGCTAATTATTTACCCTTCTGTGTGTTTTAGTGAACAGACTGGCCCGCTCCAAGTACTGCTGAGCCAGGAGGTACCACTGGAACCCAACAAAGAAGTGGAATTTGGGTCCAGTTCTTTCTTCCACCCACCTGCTTCCTGCCATGAATTGCACTCATCATTATATCCAGAGTCTTCCTCCTTGCCCCCTTCTGAAAGCAATCCATCCAACAGGATCTCTCCAAACTTCCAGTCTGCTTCTGCTGATTTTCATGACCAAGTTCCCTCTTTTCCCTGTAGGCAAGGGTTGGCAGAGAGGTCTGCAAGAACTGAGAATGATGCCCACCATGGTGTGGAATTTGCTGACACCACAGCCACAGGGCCAAAAGACTATAGGGAATGCTGCAGCAGCAGCAAGTTAGAAGAGGTCCATAACATAACGCCTATTCTCACACCTCAATACAAATCCAAGGCTAACACAGTAAACTCTGGGTCTTTGCCTACACTGTTTCCCTGTCCACATCTACCACAAGCAGCATCTTCTGAAAAGGACAGCCAGCACAGTCCTTGTTCCAAACTTGCAAGCTCTCCAGTGCAGCCCAGCATTGATCATTTAGGGGCCTATCATGCAATGACCCCTGCAACTTCATCCCCTACACAGCAGTGCTCCTTGGATCCTTTGCAGAAAACAAATAAGTACTCCAGAGCCAACAGCCATGAGATTTTATTACCCTCACAGGATGAATATGGCACAGCAAAAGGTTGCAAATCTGAGGCTTTTAGTACAAAGGGATATGTTCGCTCCTTGGCAGAGCAGTTTCAGAAAATGCATGCAGTCTCCCAGAGAAAAGGTACTCATGAAAAAGGCTGGATTGCTGCAGTGTGTCAGGATGAGAAGTCTCCAAAGTTAACACAAAAATGTTTCATCAGCCCTTCATCCTCTGATTACAGACAGCTAATCCATCAAAACCAAGAGAACAAAAACCAATCTTCTGAAAAATTATGCTCAACCTTGGATATTAGGGACGGGGTAGTTTCTTTGGAGGGTTTTAGTGCCCAACATGTTGTTTCTAGGAGTATTTGTTCTCACAGTGAAGAGCTGTGTAGAAGAGGTGGACAGAATATAGCAGACCCTGCACCCTACCTGGAAAGGCACTGTCATGATGGAGGAATGAAACAGGTGGATGATGGAACTACTAGTAGCATGATTGCCTCTATGCCTGTGGACCGTTGGGTGGATAATGTTACTAGGTATTACAGTTCTCAGAAGGCTAATAAGGATACTGAATGGCTTCCTGTACCTGGGAGGAGTCCACCCCTTTCTGATCAGAGAGCAGTTGGAGATGACTTGAGCAGGATCCCAGTACATCTGCATCCACAGTGGAATCAAGACACAGAACAGGAGCTCTCAGAACTGGAATCCCTCTATCAGACTAGTCTGCAGGCATCTCAGGCCACTAGGCCTTTCTTGGGAAGACAGGACAGTGCTAGGTATCCATTTGACCAATCAGGTAAGAATGATGCAGCTGTTTTTCTTGGTTGACCTGCCTATGTACTCCTATATAGATGAAGGTACATTTTCCAGTTGATTTAGTTAAATGGGCATGAATTTGTGCACAGATGCAGGTTCAGGTTGTGGACTCTGAAAACATTCTAACTGTATAGATAGAGAAGCAGTGTGATAGCACTGCCTGGGGACGCTGCAGAGTAGCTATTGATCTTGGCAAATGGAGAGCAACATCTGTTAAGAGTAACATAGAAATAATTGATCCTGTTTTCAAGTAGGGAGCTAGCTGCTTAGGTCAGGCTGCTGAATTTTGCTGTTTGAAAGTCCTACATCACCTCTGGAATTTATTAAACTGTTTCTATGCCTGAAGTTAATGTTCTCCACACTTGTGAATTTTAACTGATTGTATTGTATTTGAGAACTTAGTCTGTACCTGGCTGAGGGGCATAACTTCTGAAAGTGTTTCCAGATCTATGAGTGTTGAACTTGTGTTTTACTAAGGACTACCTGCTTTAAGTTCTGGAAAATTACTTGTGAAAGCAGCACTGGGGATACACAACCTATTCTAAGATCCTTGAGACCTTGTGGATTAGTTGGTGCTGAAAGAAAATGAACAGATTCTGTTGCTGAGAACATCCAGCTGTTGCTGGAGACATTCAGTTAGAGTCTGATGACAGCAGTCTGGTTCCACTTAAGCTGATCTAATCTCATGCCTGAGATAGGGCAACCTTGATTCTCTGCTTAGCACAAGTGAAACAAATTTCTTTATAATTCCTGTCATAGCATTAGAACTACAAATTTTCTGGTTAAATATGAAGCAGCCTGAAACTTGATGGGTACCAAAGTGACACACATATATATATATATATATATAAA